ACCCCTCCTTGGGTTTCTGAGGCAGTATATTGCCCAATCTTCCTTCTGAGGAGTGGGTGGTGGATTTGAACCACCAGCCTTCTGTTTAGCAGTCAAATGCCTTAGGCACTATGCCACATAGGTGGCAAATCTGATATTCAGGTCTACCTCATCCAAAGCCTTTGTGACCCCACTGGGTTTCTAGGAAGCCTGGATGGTATAGACGGGATTTTAGAGAGTCAGGTACTGTGGAAATGCCTGTGGGATTCAGGCTACACTGGCAAAGCTTTGGAATTGTGCTGTGTCAAGCAGGCATCTTGGGGCTGCCCAGAGGGCCTGGTCGACAGCCTGGGGAGTTGTCTAGGGAGTCTGGGTTCCTTGCTGTTCAGAGAGGGAGGGAGGAAACTGGTGCAAGGAACTCTGGGTTAGGACCTGGGGACAGGGTTTAAACCTCAGCTATGCAGATGAACAATCTGGTGACCTCGGACAAATCTTTGAGAGTGAGGCACTTAGAAAGGCCCTGCTGAAGGAAATTTTGCAATCATTTCAGCATAAGGCTGGAGAAAGTGGGGCCCACAATAAGTTGGTGGTAGAGCTGGAAGCTTGTCCCAGACTTTTCCACTATCATATGTTTCTCCTTGTTTCCCACTGCCCTAGGCCTCTGCCTGAGCCTTTCAGTTTTGCCAGGTGTGGAATGAGGGACTTGGATTAAAAAGTTCCTGTAACAATTCTTTCTCTGACATTCAGTACTACTGAGCTTTGGGCTAACAACAGGGACAGCTAGCAGATAGGTAATCAGCTGCCCAGGCCTAGCCATAATGAGAAACAGGTCCATCCACTGTCTGGGTTGGCGATGGGATAGGGAGGCCTGAGAATGAAGAGGGCAACAGAGGGCACCTTACTGATGGGGACAGCATGAGCGCTGGCCTGAAAGGGTTTATAGGCAGTAGTTAAAGATGCAGGTCCTAGAGCCAAAGATTTGAATGTTGGCTCTGATATCTTTGAGATATTGAGTTTGGGCCTCAGCTACTTAACCTCTCTCGGCCTCAGTTTACTCATCTGAGAAAGGGGTATGATAAACATAGAATTGTTTTGAAGATCAAATGAAATCATGCATGTAGAGTGCTTGACACAGTGCTATACATGTTTAATAAAGAAAGATGTGGCAGTCTGCTTCTGTAAAGATTTATAGCCTTGGGAATCCTATAGGGCAGTTCTACTCTGTCCTTCAGGGTTGCCATGAGTCAGAATTGACTTGACTGCAGTGGGTAGAAAGAACCAGAGGCTCAGGTTTAAACCTTGACTTCATGATGACCCGGGCCAGTGACTTCCCCTTCCTGAGCGTCAGCTGCCCCATCTGTAAACCACAAAAAATCAAACTCACTGCTGTCAAGTTGATTCTGACTCATAGTGACCCCCATTGGGTTTCTAAGGCTGTAAATCTTTGCAGAATTAAATTGCCCCATCTTCCTTCTGCAGAGCAGCTGGTGAGTTTGAACCGCTGACCTTCTGGTTAGCAGCCAAATGCCTTATCCACTATGCCACCAGAGCTCCTTCACTCAATAAAAAACTCAATGCTGTCGAGTTGAATCTGATTCATAGTGATTCCTCCTTGGGTTTCTGAGGCAGTATCTTACGGAAGTATATTGCCCAGTCTTCCATCCGAGGCGTGGCTGGTAGGTTTGAACCACCACTCTTCTGGTTAGCAGTCACATACTTTAGAGACTACACCATCAGAGCTCCTTAATCCCCCCCAAAAACCAAACTTATTGCCACCGAGTCGAATCCAACTCATAGTGGCTCCTCCTTGGGTTTCTGAGATGATATCACTGTGAAAGTAGATTGTCCAACCTTCCTTCCAAGGAGTGGCTGGTGGATTTGAACTACCAACCTTCTGGTCAAATGCCTTAGGCACTACACCAGAGCTCCCACCAGAGCTCCTGGGGCTAATAAAAACCCACCTCCATTGTCATGAGACTCCATGATGACCTGCTAAGCATGCGCCTTGCTTACCGGGGCCTCTCACAAATGCAGGATTCTTGCTCTTTCCTTTGAAATGTTACTGGGAAGGGGCCTGAACTTGGTGTAATTCTGCCAGCAACCTTTAGACGTGTTAGCTGTGCCTCAGGCCCAGCATCTGTGTGCTACCACTGGGTCCCTGGGATAAGTCTCTGCTGAACTTCTTCCCCGAGCGTGGCTGTGTGTCCCCAGCCCAGCAGGCCTTGTGTTCACCATGGGTCAGGGGGAGGCATTCCTGTGTCAATGCACCACAAGTCCTACGCAGGAGGGAAGGGCTGGGCCTTGGCCCTTGGAGAAGAGGCATGTCCCAGCCACCTGTGTTTGTTCTACTGGGGCTTTGGAGGATCTGCGGCATTGTTACTTGAAGAGGCGTTGGCCCGTACCTGCTAATCAGCCCCAGGAGGATTGGGGCACTGTCACCCAGGCCTGGCAGGTTCCCTTAATCACCTCCTGTCAGTTTTGATCCTCCACTGAGAGGGCGAACCTCTGCTTTGGGCTGAATCATGCCTTTTTAGAGAGAGAGCTGAGCCATCAGCTTGGGCCAGAGGGCTGGGCAGGGGCAGGGGTCAACCCCAATGAGTTCCTCGTCTGTAAGCACCCCACAGAAGTACACCCGGGCCCTCTCCCTGGTGCTGACATCCAGTAGGTGAACCCAGGCCCGCTCCCCTACCTGCTGTAGGCAAAAGATAAGAATCCTTGACTCAGCTCTCTATTTTCTGCTGAATCAGTGAAGAAATTTCCAGGATAACCTCAAGCCTATGCCACCCTAGTTCAGGCCCTGGCTGTAGCATCAAGACCCTCATGGGCTGCCCGGGCCAGATGGACACTCCCAAAAGGCCACCTTCTGGTCCTTTTGGTGAGTTGAGGCTGGAAGCTGCGTGCAGGGACCTCCACTGTCAGCCCTGGAAACTTCTCTTTCTCTCCTGGGCTCTGAGAGGTCACCTTCAGTGTTTTTCTTCCAGCCTCACACGGTGAGACCTTCCATGGCCAGGGTCCCTGACAGCCTCTGAGGGTTTCTCAGCTGCACCCCAAGCTCCTCAGCAGGGCCCTGACCCCAAGCCCTCACAGCCTCTTGGGTCAAACATTCACAAGCTGTGTTACAGCTGACATGTGATTGGGGTGCTAGAAAGGGCACTGTTCAAGTATAGCAACCTTCCTCTGGACCTGGCTGTGCCTCTCAGGCAGTTAGTCTAATGGAGTGATTAAATCCATGGGTCATAAATGAATTCAGGGCTTCTCAGTCTCAACACTACTGGGCTTTTGGCTGGATAATTCTTTGTTCTGGGGGGCCTGTCCTGTACATTGTAGGATGTTTAGCAGTATCCCTGGTCTCTACCTTCTAGACACCCATACCTCCCCCGCAGGCCACCATTTGTGACAACCAAAATATCTCCACAAGTTGCCAAATGTCCCCTGGGGAGCAAAATCACTCCCAGATCAGACTTCTCAGAAATCTATGGTGACAGAAATCAGGATAGTGGTTACCTCTGTGGGGATGTGCCTCATTGACTGCGAAAGGGCACAGAGAACTTTCTAAAGTTCCAGAAATGTTCTAGGTGATGGTTATACAGGTGAACACATGGTTAAAACTTCATATATAGGTGAAAATGCATCAAAGTGGACACTTACCATTATGAAAAATATACCTGAATATATGAGCCTTAGTGTCAGATAAAAGTCAGACTTGACTCTGTCCCAAAGCTTGGCTTCCTTAAGTGTAAATGGGAAGAATAATAGAATTTACCTCATTGGGTTATTGCAAAAATTAAATGAGACAGCTTACTGTCTGCACATGGTAAGGACTCTGAGAATATGAGATATTATTACAATATGCAGTGTTGCTTCCCCTTTCTGTGGCTCAGTTTCCCCAGCTGTGTCAGATGGCCTCTAAGGTCCCTGGCCACTGTGACTTTTTCTTATGGTCTTGGAGCTGTGTTTTTATCAATTGAAACGTCTCCAAGGCAGTTGATTCTATAGCACTGAGCAAAGTTTTTATCAGAGTTTTGGGAGAATAGAGTTAATGCAATACTAAGAAAGATGCAGAATATTTTGGTCAGAAGTTTTGGGAACTGGTAGAAGGGAGGCTAAGGGCTGCAGTGATCTCACCAAGCACAGGGGGACTCTCCACAGGGTGGTCACCCCTTGCTCCGTGAGACTCCTTGGCAGACCTCAGTAGCTCGGTCTTCATTCTTACATTGGGTGGGGCTGAGAGCCTGTGGAAGTATGAACTCTAAGTGGAGAGGTGAAATATAATTCAATTGTCAAAAGGGTAGTCTCAAGCAGAACACGGTTCCCTCTGAATCATCCCTTTTGTTAAGGATTAAAAAAAAAGCCACCCCCAAAAGGCACAACCCACCCTGGAAAGCAGAGGTGGCTGGGCTTGTGGGAATCAGAAGTGCAGTTGGCATCAAAATTGAGGGTGGGGAGGGGAGGGGAGAAGATGAGGAGGTTGTCCAACCCCTGTGGAGGGTGTATAAAAAGCGTTCATTCTGGGGAAGAGCCACCGTCCTCAGCCTAGGTCCAGTCAAGCTCCTGTCTGCACCTGCCTGCCACCTTGTTCTCACCATGAGCTGTCGCCTACAGAGCTCCTCTGCCAGCTATGGAGGTGGTTTTGGGGGTGGCTCTTGCCAGCTGGGAGGAGGCCGCAGTGTCTCCACCTGCTCAACTCGTTTTGTCTCTGGGGGATCAGCTGGGGGCTATGGGGGTGGCATGAGCTGTGGCTTTGGTGGAGGGTCTGGTAGTGGCTTTGGAGGTGGCATAGGAAGTGGCTTTGGAGGTGGCTTTGGAGGTGGCTTTGGTGGTAGCTTTGGTGATGGTGATGGTGGCCTCCTCTCTGGCAATGAGAAGATTACCATGCAGAACCTCAACGACCGCCTGGCCTCCTACCTGGAGAAGGTGCATGCCCTGGAGGAGGCCAACACTGACCTGGAGGTGAAGATCCGAGACTGGCACCTGAAGCAGAGCCCATCCAGCCCGGAGCGTGACTACAGCAACTACTATAAGACCATTGAGGACCTCCGGAACAAGGTGAGTCCTGATGTGCTGAGGAGGGTGCCCGGTGCAGGGCAGACTGTGAAGGCAGGAAATGCAGTATTCCAAGGGACCAGATGAGGCTGTGTAGATGGAATTCTCACCCTCTTTCAGGGGAAAATTCTAGTCTTTTACTACCCAATGTCTCTACTCCTGATGGGCTTCCTCATCCACAGCACTTCATATACATTTTTCACATTGCTTGTTTTTATTGTTATTATTACTCATGTCAAAATTTTTACTGCTTTCCAAACAGTTATGTAATTAATTAGTGACTCCATCTCTTGAATCCTAACCCAGTGAGTTATTCGGAAACCATGACAATTTAAAAAGCCACTAAGGATGTCTACAGAGAAAGGCATACATGTTCATTTATTGGTCTAAGAATAACTTTATTCTGTAGAAATCCCATTTAAGCTGTTATTCTCAGTTGGTGACAACCAAGGTGGGGACAAAGGGGGCAGGTAATGGCTTAGATGGTGCTCAGTTTAGATTCTCTTGGTCATGGCCTGCCCATCAGCTGTGCTACCAGCTTGTTGGAATGGATATCCAATGGCCTGGGCTGAGCCCCAGCCGGGTGGGATGGGTTTTAAGTGCTTTGCACATAAAAGCTTAGAAATGGAGAGGAAAATCAGTTGAATATCCCCCATGCTGAGCTGGGAGACCAACTTCAGTTATCAAATAAGTGGAATTCAGCTAAGCCCCTTTTGATTACTCTGTTGAGAAGGTTCTCAAGACAGTGGCCTGGATGGGTTGCTATTCTGAAGCTTTGGAGATGTAACTAATGTAAAGATGTAAAAACTAATGTAAAGATGATCTCAGTGGGGTTCCTGAAGTGCACACCCTTGGGGTACCTGGATCCTTTTTTCACTTTCCAGAGGAGAACTGAGGTCCAGAGGGAAGTGCCTTGTCCCAGCTCATATAGCCAGTTAAGAGACCAAAACCAGCCCCTTCATATTTCCCCAGTTCTCCTCAAGCTCATGGACTCTCTGGAGGTGACTTTTTTCTGTATTTTCAGATCACAGCAGCAACCATTGACAACAACCAGGTCCTCCTGGAGATCGACAATGCCAGGCTGGCTGCAGATGACTTCAGGCTCAAGTGAGTTTGTTTCTCTTGTTTGTTTTTTCCCCAGAAGTCCCTTATTTTAGACAAAAGCTCATCTAAGAAATGAATTTAGGATATTCCAGGAGCAAAATTCATAGAGAAATAGCAGAATCCAGTGCAGCGATGGGGTAATGCTGAATATCATTGATGTGTCTCTTTTTCAAATTTTCTTAAAAAATATTTCAGGTATGAGAATGAGCTGGCCCTGCGCCAGAGTGTGGAAGCTGACATCAATGGCCTGCGCAGGGTGCTGGATGAGCTGACCCTGGCCAAGACCGACCTGGAGATGCAGATCGAGAGTCTGAATGAGGAGCTGGCCTACATGAAGAAGAACCATGAGGAGGTGAGAGGGTTGAATCAACTCCAGAAAGAAAGGGGAGCCTTCTGAGGCATCCCAACATAGCCTCCACTCTGGGGACAGGAGGAACTTTCCAGGTGCTTCCACAGTATTTAGAACCAAGGGGAGGAAAGATGGGGAGTTTCACACATCTTTCTGTCCCACTCCTACAGGAGATGAAGGAGTTCAGCAACCAGGTAGTAGGCCAGGTCAACGTGGAGATGGATGCCACTCCGGGCATTGACCTGACACGTGTGTTGGCTGAGATGAGGGAGCAGTATGAGGCCATGGCAGAGAAGAACCGCCGGGATGCGGAGGAATGGTTCCATAGCAAGGTACCCCTGCCCTCACCCCCATAGCCAGATGGGACCAGGTGAACGCCACCTCTTGATTAGGGCCCTATATCTGGTCTCCTCCATCATCTTCTCCTGCCTAAATTTCAGAGTGCAGAGCTGAACAAGGAGGTGACTTCCAGCACTGCCATGATCCAGACCAGCAAGACAGAGATCACGGAGCTCAGGCGCACACTCCAAGGCCTGGAGATCGAGCTGCAATCCCAGCTTAGCATGGTACTTCTACATCTCCCTGTCTGTGGCCATCCTCTCTAAGCCTTCTTCTTGCCTGGCTCCTCTAGTGACTTCTTCTCCATTGCCCCACCAGAAAGCCGGGCTGGAGAGCACGGTGGCGGAGACGGAGTGCCGCTACGCCCTGCAGCTGCAGCAGATCCAGGGCCTCATCAGCAGCATCGAGCAGCAGCTGAGCGATCTCCGTAGTGAGATGGAGTGCCAGAACCAGGAGTACAAGACACTGCTGGACATCAAGACGCGGCTGGAGCAGGAGATCGCCACCTATCGCAGCCTGCTTGAGGGCCAAGACGCCAAGTAGGTCCTTGCAGCCTCTCGGGAAAGTAATGGCTGGACCCTGAGTGTTGGAGCAAGGGAGTCTTAGGGATCAGACTTTCCTATCACAGAGGTCAGGATGAGGCTCAGACAAGGAAGAGACCTATCTGAGCTTAAGCAGCCTGGAAGACGATCCAGGACCAGAACCCCTGGTCTCTTGAGTTAGACTCTGGTGGCGTTTCCTGAGCAAGCTGCAGCATGGATTAGAAACCTTTAAGCTTTCTAATCCATGTCTCTGAATTGGATGGAAAGAAGAGGGACTATAGAGTGGATATCCAATATTGGGAAAGCATTAGCTTGTGTTCAGCATAGTCAATTGCAGGTACTGAGGCATCCTATGGGCTCAGGGTACCTAGGGAGGGGACAGTGAGCAAACCAGGGATAGGACAAAGCTTCTGGAAAATGTCCTGAATGCACTAGGACCAATAACATCTCCTCCTGAGGCTTCTTTGACAGACAAACAGGTCAATCGAGCTGGGAGGCACTCGATGCTGCTACTTCTGGGTTGGGGGCACAGCTGGGTGGAAAAGCCCAAACAGGGGTTCCAACTGATGATATAAATCCCCATGAGGAGGGCAGGTTAACATCTGCCCTTGGTTACCTTCTCATTGCTACCCGTCTCTTCTCTCCTAGGATCACTGGCTTCACCTCTGGAGGAGGTAAGGAAGGGCCCTATGAGGAGGTGGGATCAGGCTCTGTTCACTGCCCTGGGCTGGATCCCAGCTTGTAGGGAAAGAGGGGGTTGGGGTGGGATGACTCATTTGCTCTTCTCCTTTCATTTCAAAATAACCTCTCTGCTCCAAAGAGCTATTGGGCTGTCTTGGAGGAGCCACTTTTGGGGACAATAAAATACACACCACTTGGCTAATCAGGAGTTTGTGAGTCCTCTGGGGGGCTCTGACCAGGCCTGAGGGGATTCTTCTCTAGCCTGAGCATCTCTGTCACTTCTTTCATTTTCCAGGAAACGCTGGCACCACCTCCACCACCTCTACCACCGCTGGTCGTGGCACTCCTGACAACCGCAGGGCCTAAATCTGCCTAGCATCTCCGCCCCCCCCCCCCTTTGTCTTCAGTAACCAGAGGAGAAGCATGTGGATGGCTCCTTATAGGCGAGAGGAGGGACTGCAGGATGGGAAGCTCCATACCCCACTCTCAGGACCTCCTACTCTTCTGAGGGTCCCTCAGCACTCCTCTCTCCCAGAAGGCTTCTTCTGCTCTCTCCCCTGACTACTCTTTGGTTTCTCAGCTTCTCTATGAAATGAAAAGTTCTGTCAATAAACTTTCTTGTCTTTTGCAAATATATTTTTGATTCTGGCCTGGTTTCTGAGGGTGATATCTGACAGGGCCCTGATTTAGGGCTGGAGGGTGTGTGGGCATGAGCTGATCAGGTAATGAGATAAAGAGCTGGCTCAGAGTCATCTAAGAAGGACACAAGGCCTGTGAGCCAACCACCAGTGCACACATTCAACAATGACAAACACATGCAGGACACAGTAACCCAGAGACAATGGTGCCCAGCAAACATGGACCAATGTTATTAACAAGATACATGCAGGGCTGGGTGAACCAGGTCAACACTCTATAGTACGGCCAACAATCAAGGAAACAAGGGGTTGTGGTGGAGTCAAGTGATAGGACTAGAGTGGGAAAGAGATGCAGGGAATTCTGGGGCAGGCTGTGAGTGGCTGGTTAAGGGATGATTTGGGAAGAAGGAGGCTTGACTTACGAGTACCAAGACAATGACCCAGTCCTAACTTGCTACTCCCTGCTTCCTGCAGAGAGTGTTTCCTTTCAGGCAAATGGGCTCCATTTTGGTCCATGACACCCAGTCTTGCTTCCCATCTCAAGGTTCTGCCTTTCCAAACTGCATGGGTGGAAGCCTTGGGGCCCTTGCCTTGGCCTGAACAGACCCTTCTCCTTCCCATTCTGTCTGCTTGCCTGTTCTCTCCTCACCTCTCTGGATGTCTCACTCAGATTTGGCACCGCCTCTTGCTCTGCTCACTCCTTTCCCAGTGACTTGTTCCCTTGGGTCCCGGCATAGGTGGTCTCCTCTTTTTTTCTCTTTACCCTCTCCTTGGGCTGTCTCGGACATGTCTGGCATGACCAATATGTTCTGACGCCTCTCAAACCTAGACCTCCAGCCAAGGCCTCTTCTCACTTCAGACTCACACACATGCCACTTGTGCACAGGACTTCACCACCTCAACCTTCTCCCAAACCTGCTTCTTTCTGTCCCCTCCTCAGAGACCTTTGGAACCGGATTCAGGAGCCCAGGAGTCATCTTGGACTCCTCTGTCTCCCTCCTCTCTTCACAAGTTCTTCCTGTGGAGTTTGTTTTATCTATAATATCCTCCCTACCCCCTGTTTGTAACTTTCTGGGTGTGTGACTATAGGCTACTCATCTCCAGTTTCAGCTTCCTCTTCCTCCGTTCTCTGCACTCCAGGCAGGGAGATTGCCTGAAACCTCAAACTTTCTCCAAAATCTCCCTCAGTAGCTTCCCACTGGCCACCCCAAGGTCCTGCCACTTTAAATATCTCTTGCTGGTTTGGACACCTCAGGACCCTTGTTCAAAGTATGTCCTCAGCCTGAACCAAACTTCCTCCTCCTCTTTCTCTTCCCATTCCCATTATGGTTTTATTGGAGACTCAGATTTATTAACTTGTTCAAAATTGAGCTCAAATATTTGCACATCAAGGAAGCTTGCTGCGATCTCCACTCCCTTGTGTGGCCCCTGAGCTCTGCACAGAGGTCCACCACGGTGTCCAATGAGTGTGGGCACTCTTAGGTGTTCACACATCCATGCTCACGGCCCCAAAGTTGACCAAGAAGGGCTATGTCTTCTTTATCTTTATTATCCTTGAGGATCTACATATTGCTGGTATGTAGGAGGAACTCAGTAAATGTTTACATGAAGAGGTTTCCTCTTAGACTGGGGAAATTCCTCTTAGATGTCATTTAATTTTTGTCATAGGGCCAAAGTGTAGGCCTAAAAGCCATCTGTCCTCTTTTTCTGTCCCCCTTCCTCATTTCTTCTTCTCCTCTCCAGCCCTCCTGCTTCATTTATTTTCTTCTTCATTATCTTCCTTCTCTTCTTCCACCTAAGTTGGCTGTGGGCTCTTGGCAGTTGGCTTGCTTCCATAGGGGTTTTTCAGACACGATGGACCCAGCTTCTAAGCCAGAAGAAGGATGTCTGCCCTCAACTCATTCTAGATTGTCCACCCTAGGCCCTGCCCATCTACCGGTACAGAATGCGGTGGGGTTCAGGTCAATTTTTCATGGCCAGCACTGTGCTACAAGATAATGAGTCAAAGGCAAACAGGACATGGTCCCCAAGTCCAAAACTTTTTTTACCTTTTCAGTTGATCTATTTAGACCGCAATATTTTACTGAATGCTTATAAGAGCTCTGGTAGAGTAATGTCTCAGGCACTTGACTGCTAACCAGAAGGCTAGTGGTTCAAATCCACCAGCCACTCCTCGAAAGGAAGGTTGGGCAATCTACTTCTGTAGTGATACTACCTCAGAAACCCAAGGAGGGGTCACTATGAGTTGGATCTGACTTGACGACACATAACAACAACAACAACTGTATGCTAGGAACTATGTTGGATCTTGGAGGGAAAGAAACAAATAAAAGGTATAGACCCCAAAGAATTGAAAATAGAGACTCAAACAAATACTTGTACTCCAATGTTCATAGCATCACCATTTACAATAGCCAAAAGGTGGAAACAACCCAAGTGCCCATCAACTGATGAATCAATTAACAAAATGTGGTATATCCATGCAATGGAATATTATTCAGCCATAAAAAGGAATGAAGTGCTGATACATGCTACTGCATTATGCTGAGTGAACTGTGCTATGTGTCACCAATGGACACATATTGTATGATTCCACTTATACGAAATATCCAGAATAAGCACATTGATAGAGATGGAAAGTAGACTGAAGTTGGGGAGTGAGATAGGGTGATTATTTAAAGGGCACAGTGTTTCTGTTTGGGGTGATGAAAGAGTATTGAAAATAGACAGTAGTGATGATTGCATAACACTCTGAGTGTAACTAATGCCATTGAATTGCACACTTAAAAGTGGTTAAAATAGCAAATTTTATGTTCAGTACATTTGACCACAATAAAAAAAAATGTCATAAAAAATAAAAGATAATCTCTGTTTTCATGAAGTTTGTGGATGAAAGAAGAGGTAGATACCCACAACATTAATGATTACAATCTTCAAGACTCGGCTTAGGTTTTGCCTTTTGCACTGGATCTTCTCTGATCTTCCCCCAATACTCCCAGCATCCTAAATCTGTCCCCAAGAACCCTGTGATGGTGGCCATCCCAGCAGCTACCAGGCAGCATGCTGCTAAGGGCACACACTCTGCAGCCAGATTGCTCTGGCTTGCATTCTGGCTCTGCCACTTTGTTGCTATGCAACCCTGGGCAACGTCACTTTACCTTTCTCACTTTCTTCATCTGCTAAGAACTACCTACTTTATAAGGTTATTATAAATCAAGTGTATAGAACAGTCCCTGGAACATAGTAGTTGATCAATAAATAAAGGATTTGTTATTATCTTTCCAGTTTTCTTTTCTAACCTGTGAGCTACCTCAGGGATCGTTTCTTAGTCATCTTCGTACTCAGAATATTATAGGAGCTCAATAGATGAATTGAATGGAGGAGTGAATGAATGAATGAATGTAGCTTGTTATGGGAAATGAGAGGGGTAAGTAAGTACATGGTGCTGAGGGCCCAAGGAGAAGGGACTGAGGAAGGGGCTAGGTCAGAGAAGGGTCTTCAAAGCTGAGCTACTCATGGCTGATTCAAGTCACTCTGCAGACCAGACCTGGACCTTGCTGGATGTGGGACAGCCCTCTTACTGAGACCTAGCCTCCTTATTTTCTAGGCTGGTGTTGGTGAGCTCAGTGGGGCTTGAGGTTAGTTGTTCAGGTGGAGCAGTGGGAGACTCTGGTCTAGAAGC